GTTTGCTTAAATTTGTTTCTTGAATACATCGTTCCACTTTTCAGCAGTATCACTGCTAGGAAGTATACCTGGAACCTCAGTTCAGAGAATTGATGTCTCCAGAACAAACAGTCAAGAACAGAGGAAGCTGGTCTATTCTGTTCTACCAGTTACACCTCCATGAGCTTTGTCTCCCTCAGACTTTTTTGCACACTGTCTCTGGCTGCAGCTTTTATTCATTTTATAGCAGTTGGCTGTGATTTGAATTATTCCCTCTCAGCGACGTTATCTGGGTGTAACTGAGAATGAAGCTTAGGTTGAAGATTCTTACACACAGTGGCTGAAGATTGGGAAATAATAGTTGTGTGGATATCACATTTCTGCATGCATCAGTGTGCACTTGCCATCTGAAAAAACAGTATTTTCTTGCTTTTAGTCTATGTTCCTCCAATTTTTTTAAATTTGTATTCTGAGTACATATAAACATTATTTTTTCTACATGGGAACCTTTATATTTAAAAGTATTTTTTTCCAGATCCTTTTTTCTTCTTAGCTAATGCATTTCATAGAAGTTTTTGATGGCCCTAATACCCATCTGCCATTCTTCTGGATGAAACATGCTGCTTGAAGTGAAAATCCCCTAAGTTCACATGCAGGAATAGATGGGGGATGCAGAAGCTGTCTGAATTGAACTTCTAGGCATGTAGGACTAATCTGCTGCTGGCTATATTTTCCTTTTCAAGCTCATGGTTATGTTTCCTAAATCCTACTGTTGTACTTCACTGCCTTCTTACAGTATTTCTTTTTCAGGCTGACTGTAGCAAATGCAGATGTAAATCAAAGTATTGCTTTTGCTGTGTCTGTAATACACTGGACACCTTCTTGCTTGGAGATCAGAAACCTCCTGAGAGCTGAGTTTTCCTTCTGTGCGAAAATTCTACCACTGCTGTGCAGAAAGCAGCAGTGTTAGTCCTCTACCAGTCTGGTGTGAGTTAGCCAGCCTGGTTACAATTTCGTGGGCATTGTTCACCTGTTTGAGCTGTGTTTGATTTATAGGTTACTCAATCTATGTGCAAAGATTATTTATAATGCTTTTGTTATGCAGTTGCCCCAGTGTCAGATGATGCCAATGAAGACTATTTTAGACTTTCAATTGATTGTCTTTATTCTTATACCATGGGTGATTTTTTTTTCTTCTTTTTCTTTCTTTTAATATTATATTAGATACTGCTCATGTTTGTACATGTGAGCTACAGTGGACCTTAGGCTGATATTAAAAAGGTATATTTATGCTTATGCAGTGGTGGAATAAGTTGCTGGATTGGTAGCCATAAAAAATGAAAATGAATTGACATAACTGAAAAAAAGACATAGGCTCCTGTTGGGAATTATTCAGATCTTAACCTTAATTGGCTTCTGGAGCAGGCCAGGTTGCTCTTTCAATTTTTTGCATAGAGAGCTAGTAGTGGCTATATACTTGCTTATATGACTCAGTGGTCAGTGAGAGAAATACAAACTCTTCCTCCTACTGTAACCAGCCTTGCTGGGATTATAGGCTGCTCTGGAAGGAGCTTTCAAATTTCTTCTCCAGTTGTCTTCATCCCATTTTTTTTCTGCTCTTTGTTCCACTTCTGCTTGACCCACCCAGAGCCACAAAGTTGTAATATGATTCAGGCTGAGAGGGATGTCAGGAGGACTCTCATCCAACCACTTGCTCAAAGCAGGATCAGCTGTAAGGTCACATATATTTCCCAGGTCTTTATCCACCCAGGTCTCGAAACCCTCCAAGGATGCAGACTGCACAGTCTCTCTGGGCAGCCTCTTCTGCTGCTTGGCTGAGGTCAGAACCATTCCTGATTTACTATATTACCACTGTCTTTAGGTTGTTTTGTTTCTTTGCTTCTTTAATGCCATTTAACTTCATAAAGATCTTGGCTCCCTCATTTGGTAATGGCCTTTTAGGCACTGAAAATGTACTGCTAGGCACCCCCAAAAACTTATCTTTTTCATTCTGAACAAGTCCAGCTCCCCCAGCCTCTCCTTACAGGGTGCGTTCTCCAGCTCTAACCATGTTGGTGACCTTCCACTGGACTCACTGAAGTTTGTTGATGTCTTTCTTGTACTGGAGTGGACATACTATTCCCAACTGGACATAGTAGTCCAAATGTCGTCTAAAGATTGCTGAGTAAGGGGGAATAATGTGAGCTCCTTGTGCTTTTGAAAAATATTACAATTTAGAAACGAGGAAGAACGTGAAACAAATCCAAAGACTATTTAGTTTTTGCTAAATCTGAAGAGAATGCACTCTCATCTGCATCAGAGTTCCCTGGCAAGCCCTGTCACCCTTACCTACGAAATCCTTTCTCTAAAAAATGTTGGCACATTTCTTCCTTTGTTTCTTTCTCATTCCATGAAGATACATACCTGCAAAATAAAGTTTTTGTAATTGGCAAAAAGTTGCAATGTGAAGAACAAAGAAAAGCTTAATAAAATTAAAAGGTAGATAAAGTGAATTGAAATTAAAAGAACCTCAGCAACTTACTCAATACAGAAAGCATTGACTCAAAATTTCTGATCCAAGGAATAATAGAATTTAGTGGCTTGAATAAATGAATAACAATATATGGACTTACATTAATTAGGGTAAGGTTCAGATGGAGACTTGCAGATGTCTCAAGCACAAGGAGTGAAGCAACTACTTCTGTTAGAGAGATTTCTTGTAGGCTTGCAACTGGGAGAAGGCTTGTTAACAGGATTGTGGCATTTTATAGCAGGCCAGAGAGCTCACTGACAGAGAAGGCGTGTTGATTTTCTTAGGTGATGGCTCTGCTGGAGGAGCGGGAAGCAGTTTGCTAAACACAGAGATCACAAGGATAATTTGGTATCGAATAAACCCTGGTGGGGTTATGTGCTCTCGGTTAAGTACTGTCCAGAACCCCTGTTTTGCTCCTTTCAGATGCTTGCTGGCTTTGGATTAGCTTAATAATGTCCCACTCTTGCTCCTGTAGCTCCTATACCAATTAATGTCTCCAGGTGAGCAAAACAGTGAGATAGAATTTTGTGGGATTCTGATGAAGTATGGGTGAATAAATAAGCCTGTCTTTCCTTCTCACATCCAAAATAATAATGGGTGAAACATAAGTGAATTCCTCTTTCTGTGTATGTTAGCATGAACACAGATATGAGGACTCGCGTTTCTTTCTCCGTGATGGTGCTGTGACTGCTGGTCAGATGCCACAGTGATGTTTTAAAGAGGCAGGACAGGACAGATCAGTGCTGCAACATTTATGCTTGCCATTGCTGAAAGCCAAATTACAGGCTATAGGAATAAAAAGAGGATGAATATGAATCTGTGTATGTTGCAGTGATGTAACATGTTTTCCATAGTGCAAATAGTCATCCTTACTGATTCTGCGTACTTTCTGGATTCACGCTGAATTCATATCTTAGCTCAAAGATAACTCATTTTTTTAGGCAGATCTCACTGTTTCTGTCTTTCTTCTCTTTGTCTTTTTTCTTCCTCCTCTTTGCCATCTTCCCCTTATTCCCTAGATGTCCAATATGGGCTTTTTATTGATCTTTTTCCTTTTCTCATCCCCGATGATGTCCTGCAGCAGTGTTGTCCTCCTTAGCACCAGCTCCTGTAACTGGTGGCTTTTTCAGATACCTCAGAAACCCTTGTGCTCCTTTCCACAGCTCATCTTTTGAAATTAGGATGCTTTGGTGGTTATGGACTCATATTAGCAAGTTATGCTAGGAAATTTTTAATGTTACAGCAGAAATTGCTGTGCAGCTATTTTAGGGATATGTACTGGAATTGTTACAAGGTTAGTAAAGAAATACGATAAAGAGATAGTGGGACTTAAATACTGCAACAACAGCATGACTTTAAATAATGCTGTTCTCTTCCTATAACACTGTGTTCTTCCCAGCTAAACAATGGCAGTACTGAGTAGGAGACTTCAGGGACTAATACTGGGCAGTGATTCACTGAAAATACAAGAGCACGTACAAACCTGACTTACATGTTATGGTTTTGTTCATTAAAGTGAATTGAATTCACGCTATATGTGTCCAGTTCTGGACTCCTCACTACAAGAGAGATATGCACGCACTGGAGAGAGTCCAACAGAAGGCCACGAAGATGACGAAGGGCCTAGAGCATTTATTCTATGAGAAAGGATGCTGTTCAAACTGGAGAAGAGAAGGCTCGGGTGGAAACTCAGCTGTGTGTATAAATATCTGGTGGGAGGGTCTAAAGAAGATGGAGTCAGGCTCTTTTCAGTGGTTCCCAGTGACAGGACCAGAGTCAGTGGGCACAAACTGAAACATGGTAGGTTCCCTCTGAACATTGGGAAACTGTTTTTAGTGTGAGGGGGACCAATCACTGTCATGGATTTCCCAGAGAGGTTATGGAGTTTCCCTGCCTGGAGACATTCAAAAGTCATCTGGACATGGTCCTGGGCAACTGGCGGTAGCTGTCCTTGCTTGAGATGACCTCCAGATATCCCTTCCAACCTCAACCATTCCGTGATACTGTGATCCTTTATTTTCCCAATAATGAGAAACTTTTAAGGAAATCTGTATCCTTTACTGTAGTTCTGGTAAAGCTAGTGAGAAAGATACGCAATTGGAATCAACTATTTTAAGATCATGTAATCTGAAACTGTTCTGAAGAGGAAAAGCAGGCTGCATGATCAGGGCAAAAATTATAGCTCTTTTCAGCTTCAAAACAAGTGAGTGAACATTGCAGTAGCTACCTGCTAATGCTGATGGCAAGTAGTGGAACTGCAGCTACAAATGGAACATCTAATAGCCATTTGTTAAGGAGAGTAAAGGGTTTTTTTTGGTTGCATCATTATATTACACAGAAAAAGACAGGGCTTTCATGATGGCAGGGCCTAGACTGAGAGTCCAGTAGTTACCTGCAGGAGATAAGGTGAATCTGAACAAGAAAACTAAACTGCTGAAAAGTAGTTATTTAATTTTTAAAATTTATCTTTCTTTTGTTTTTCAAACAGTGGAAGCTCTACATTTGGGAACACTGATGGCAGCACATGGCTATTTCTTTCCAATCTCAGACCATGTTCTAACACTAAAGGATGATGGCACCTTTTATCGATTCCAGGCAAGTGTTTTCTGTATGTTCTTGGCTTGTGCAAATGGTGGTTCATATTAAAGGCCTTACACAAAGGTTCACAGTAAATTTTAACCATACTTTGTCTCTTAAGCAACCTGGTAAACGGTGGCGATTCCCCTTGAAGTAAAAAGTAGTAGAAGGATTTTATTTAGAACTTAAATTATCATAGTGTTAGGATGATAGTGACCATTTTGATCCCTGGAAAAAGTGTGATAATGCTGTGTGGAAGTATCTCTCATGAAATAAATTGATCTAGTATTTTGGAAATATAGTAAAGGAAATGAAATTATCTTATTGACTCTTATTCCTAACATAGTCTTACTTTAGAAAAGAGGAGGTGTTTTACTTATTTAGCATGTATTTACTACAGCAGAAATCTGGTTAACAAATGGAGGGTAATATTTATGTTCTGTCTTATGTGAGGATTTCCTTATTGGTAACAGATTAGTATTGAAGTCTAGTGTGTATTCAACAAACAAGTGCAGACACATTTCTACATTGATCTGTTAGTCCCATTGCATACAACAAACTTGCAGATTTTTCACAACAAGCTGGAAGGATGCATATGTATGTATATTTATACCTATACCTACACATATATTATTCAGATATCTCATAGTTATCTTAGTGTTATCTTAGATTTCAAACTAAGGGCTTGGGGAGCAGGAATGTTGCTTTTCTAATAATGAATAGCAAACTAGACTTGAGCCAAATCTGATTGCACAGTATCTGATTATGTATTCTAGAGAAGGAATTAACTTTGCTCACCATGTGCCACCTTTGGCAGTGGTGGCTGTGCTCTGTATTCCTCTTCCTGTTAGGTCACCTTCCTGGTAGGTATCACCAACAGCTACTGCAAAATCTTCCCTAGATATTTGTTGTTTTGAAGTGATATGATTATCACTATGAAATTGATGATACGAATACCACAGTTTGGATATCTTGCTCTGTTAGTTCAAACTGTGTTGAATACTTACAGAAAAATATCTGATAGAGCAAAATCTATTGCTTTCAAGATATTTAAGTCTGAGCTTTTTCTTATTTATTGCCTAAATAATAAGCCATCAAGAATAAAATAAAACTGAAATTGTGGTCTTTAAAATGCAGAAGAAAATGTTGATACATTGGAGACCGATCATAGTTTCAAACATTGTATCAGATTAATTGCTGTACACTTTCATCAGTATTTTGGCTTGAGTTCTATAGACCCACATAAGAGCAGAGAAAGATTCATAATATTTGGTCTAAAACAAAAACTTAGAGTTAATATAATTAAATACGTACAGCACGGTCTGTCAAGAAAGAGAACAATTATTGCATATATGCATACAATATTAACGTATTTTAATATGTAGATCCTGTGAGTCATACAGTGCAAAAAACCTGTCCTTCAGCAGGACAGTAAGTTACACGTGTATATGGGTAATACAAAGAGCAATCACTCCAAGCCTCCTCCCCCAGATGCAGTTGCCTTTGATCCTGGAGAGAGGACTTGAAGGAAAATGTTTCCATCTCATGGTGCTTCATCCTCCTCAGTGTTCAGTATAAAGATGACAGGGATGGCACATGGGTGAAGGGACTTATTGCTGAGAGCAAGACACTGATGTGGTAATGAGGCAACTGAAAAACGGAAAGAAATCATGGAGTGGTTGAGGCTCCAGTTCTTGGTTTGTCTCTTCATAAGCAGCAGCCAGAAGGACAAAATATCTGAAGACTTCATTTTGAAGAGAATGGGGTTTATTTATAGGAGTGCTGGTCATTGAATTCTGCAGAGCTGCTGGCTTGCTTCTGTCTCAAGCATGGGAAATGAGCACCTCTGCTAGCATGATAATTTGACTGAAGGAAAGTCTAGATTAGAATTAGTTGCACTGTGAACAACTGAGAGTACTGCAGCTACCCTGCCATGGGCTTTCCTCAGAGAGGTCTACAGCCTACATGGTTGGACATGTGCCAATCTAACCCTTCAGGGAGGGTTAATTTGCAAAATGATACCAGTTGATTTACGTAAATTAAGGATTTGGCACCTGTTTGACATATGCATATGAAATAAGATCATTTCCTCATTGCTCAGTATATATCTGCAGTATTTTGGTTGTTTGCTGCTCTGTGATACCTTTTGTATTGCTATTCCTATTCTAACAATGTTAAAACAATGCCATTTTAGCTGTTAATGCATAACATGAGAAAAAAATTCATAATCGTGTAATACTGTTAACTGGAGTTGCAACAGCAATAGCTATGTCACTACAATCCCACATTCCCCACCAAAATAAGGCTAATATAAAATCTGTTACTGAAGGTGTTAAATTAGAAGATGAAGACAACATACTCAATGGGGAGGAAAGTTTGACTGCAAATCCGTGAATTTTGCACTAGAATAGTTGTTCAGGTGCTTCCTGAGTATTCAGGACTACTTGAGTCCTATTTCCTATCCACAAATTTCTGGATATTTTAATAGAAAGAAAAAAAACATGCACCTGCCAGCACTGAAAAGTTCAGAAGTCATCCCTGCAGAGAAATCTCTGTCTGAAATACAAAGATCTGACCTACAAAAACCAGACTATCTGCAATAATGTTCTCCGTTCACTTCATTTTTTGTTTTCTAAAGGGTGATGCGTTCCCTCCTGACAGTAAATTTACTTCCAGTTTGTTTTAAACAGATTTCTGTTGTATAGAAAAAAAATAAAAGCAGTAGAGATTGTGCTTCATTTGTGCAAATGCCCTTTTACAGGCAAAATTATTCCTTTTCAGTTATTACTCTTGCCATCAGGAGGGCTGTAAAATAACAGTTATATCTACTTTTTTAAATAAGGTGGCCTTAGAAATAAATAAACAAGTCATTCTGGATCATTCTTCGACCTACTCAGGTATAATTAGACTAGTTTCTGTGATAATTTAATTCAAAGGGGATGGATCTAAGTATTAATTGCCTTTGAGAGGAAATTTCTTATTAGTCTCAACAAGGCAAAGCAAAAAATTCAGGGATAGTGATACTTTCTGAACCACCCTGACAGGCTGCATTGCCTTTTCCTGGTAATTTAAGCCAAATTACCAAAGCAGCAGCTGAATATCTGCTAACCACCCTCCTCCACCTGAGGTATGAGGGGCTCAAATAAGAAAAACAAGGTGCACCTTAGAAAGCAGATCTTCCTGGAGCTAGGGATTACTCATTGAGACCTGTCATCCATGTCTACATAAGTGATATATGTCTGTCCCATTGAGGAATGCCTCACTTGCCCTCTCAGCTGTTAAACTTCTCTAATAGTTTCACAGGGAAAGATATGTTGTTTTTTTCTACAAGCTGCACAGGCAGACTAATTGTCTCAATGTTCCTAGTAAAAAAATAATGTTTCCTAATATCTTTTGTCTTTAAATGAACTCCTAGGATACCACAGGCTATTGATAATCACACTCTCATTTCTTGATGAGATTAAATCATGATTTAATGTAAATTAATTTTCAGAGATGAAATGTAGCTTCTGCTGTTGTTTTGTAATTTTTAAGATGGAAGGCATAAATAGCTGAGAAAAAGTGTGAAATGGGCACAGTTTCTTGTGAAAGCATGAATCTGGTGAAGATAGCAGCAAAGCTCATGGAATAGTTACTTGTGAAAGCATGAGTCTGGTGAATATAGCAGCAAAACTCACGGATTTTGGCAAGATGATTTCACCTGTGATGTCTTCTGCTCTACCACTGGGGACATTTTCTTGTCAAATGCATTTAACATCTCTGGCCTTGTTTTCCCATGCCTAAATTTGGGATAAAATATATAGCAATCACTGTAAGGATCTTAGAATATCTCTGCTGCAAAACAGTGCAGAACATGAAGTGCTGTGGATCCTTGTGTCTCAGGTGGAATTACATCGCTTCCTGCATCTCTTAGCATCAGCCCTGCTTGGCTACCTACCTCTTGGCTCATTCCTGGGCCAGTCTCTGGCCATTCTAAGTACTGAGGCTGTGGCTGAACATCACAGCTCTCCAGCCACTCTCCACAGACTTGCTGGATCATCTACCATGCCTTGAGGGAGGGATTTTATTGGAAGCCAGATTTTAGAAATAAAAAAGAAGCAGGTTACCTCATCCAGCATTTGGCAGATTTTCTTTGGTAATTTCAGGTGCAAGGACTAATTCATTATCTCTTCAGCTCAGGCTCAGCATGTACAGGTTCTGTTTAGGTTTCAGAGAGGGAAAAATAATTTCAAATCTGTGTGTCTTTCTGACTGCCTTATCGGTACCCTTTTCCCCTTTTTTCTTTTTTTAACTCCCTACTCGGACACAGTTTCCACCCCCTCCCACTGCTTTCCGTGTTCATTCCTTTTCCAGGTTAGAAAAGAGGAGTCACAGAGCCAAAATCTTTATTATTTCCAACTTCCTCAACCTCTTTTTTAATAATTCTGAGGTAACCATGGAGTACTTCTTGCTGTCATCCTTCCTCTATGGGCTTGACATTGCTTGACTGGTGATCTTTCCCTTTTCCTTTACCAGGAGATCATTTGAATCAACTGCAGTGAATGTAAAACTGAATACCCATGAATTCTGCCATCCATCAGGCAAGGCATTTGAGATTGTGTGTAACTATTTTTTAGAAAATACTTGTTTTCTGCTGTTTATAAAGACTCCTTGGTGCCTATGAGAAGAATAACAGTAATATGTAAAGGAAGGTTTGTGAGTGATTTGAATATTCCGCCCCCATTCTAGTTTAATTAGATTTTAAAAGATTTCATGGAGTGGGACAACTTCAGGAACAACAATTCTTTTCTTATTACTATCAACAAGAGATAGCTGAAAGATGCTTAATGATTTCCCTTCTCAGTAATATATAGTTTAATGCATAGAAATTAATCATGTTTTATAAAAGCTGGTAGGCAACACTGATTTTTACAAGTGACTGTTTCATTAGCTCAGATATTATTATTGATTAATTTTATGGTAAGGCCAGAGCAGATCTATTTGTTTTATCACAGGATTGCTCATGATGCATAGCAGCC